CAGCCCCGCCGGCTTTGGGTATGGCGGCAAAAAGGCATTTATAGAAAGGGTTAAAAACATGAAACCGGCAGAAGGGGAGTAACCTGTTGCAAAACAGCCCTGAAACCTTTTCCTCCCCTTGCTGGGGTTTGGTGCACAAGCCAGGGCAGAAGCAGGAGGACTTGGCACCAGCGTTGGGGGGGGGAGGGCACACCACAACAAACCCCGATTCAGAGTCCCCAGCCCCGTTGTGTAACGCGGACAGATCCTCTTTGTCTCCCCCTTTTTTTTTTTCCTCCCTTTCGAGCCCATTTTTTATTCTGGCCTAAATCTCCGCCTGGCTTTTCCAGGGCAGCTGCGTCTCCCGCTGCACCAGCCACCCCTTTTCACCCTTTCCTGTGGCTTCCCATCGCTCTGCAGGTGACCAGCCAGGTCGGAGGACAACTCTTCTCCCCGGTGGCACCTTTATCTCTGGCCGTGCTGATGCCAGCCCTGTGCCCCGTCCTGGGGACACTGGCAGCGGCCGTAGCGATGGCACCTGCCCCCGCTGATGTAACCCTGCTGTGGATTAACCCCCCCCCCATGAGGCTCAGTGGATAAGCTGGGTGCTGAGCCACCAGGCACTAAATAGGGTGCACGGCCCCAGGTCAATCCGTCCCTTCCCAAGAGCCACTTTTTCGGGCGGGGAGGGAGCCGGCGGCAGTTCTCGGGGGATTTGGGGGATGCTGGGGGTGAGAGTGGGGCTTGTCCCCCCCTTGCTGCACCCCTGGTGCTGCAGCGGAGGCGGTGATGCCAGAGCCGTGGGGGTTTTCAGGTGGGTGTGGGAAGAGCGGGGCAGGGATAAGTGGAGAGTGGCTGGCAACTCGTGCCTCAGTTTCCCCACACCAGCAGTGGGGAGCCTCAGCTCTCTTTTTGGGGGTCACCAGGGCATTGCTGTGCTGGGGGAGGGGGGCGGGCAGAAGGAGCTTGCTAACTGCTTGAGTTTGACAGCTCTTGCTGGGGAAAGGCAGGAAAAATCCCTACCCTTTCCTCAAAGGTTTTGGAGGGCTGAAGCGACACGTCCAGGCACGCAAGGACAGGCCAGGGCTGGGAAAGTAGCCCTGGTGGGGGAGATCTCAGCTTGTGACTTCTCCACTAGGCCAAGCTTTTTATTTAAATACCCTCCCTGTCCCGGCTATCCTTACAGCCTGCTTTCCTGGTGCATTGCACCGCTGGCTCCAGTGCCGCCGAAAGCTGACGCTACATGGAGTCAGAGCTGCACGCCGGTCCCTGTATCGCCTTCGGCAGCGTGCCAAAACACCCCAACCCAGTGGGGTACCGAGCCCCCCATCACACCCGTGACCCCACATCATCCACCAGCACCTGGCCCGGGCGGGCCGCCCTGGCCAGGCAGCGTCCCACCGCCGCCAGCACCTTCCCCAGGCGACGGTCCAGCGCCCGCAGGTGGGGCTCGGCCAGGACGGGGGCCAGGGGGTCAGCGGCCAGCGCCTCCCGCAGCAGGTCACTCAGGCGGTAGGGCTGGGTGGCCAGCAGCTGCAGCCGCAGGTAGGTCGACTTCTTGATGCTGCCCAAGATGAGGAGGGAGAGGTCTCAACCCGGGGAGCCTCTCTCCCCGACAGCAGCTCCGGGGTGGGTGGCAGGAGCCCCTTACCTGCAGCATTGCTGGAGGGGGGCCAGGATGGACAGTTCGTCGCGTGAGTGCGTGCCAAAGCTGGGGGGAGAAGCCCACTGGCCGGCGTCAGGGCAGCATCGCCCCGCAGCTCAGAGCCCAACACGGCATGTTTCGGCAAGACCCGCGGTTTCCCCCCACCCCTTTGCCAAGATTGTTTCCCCTCCATCCCGCTTTACCCGCGACCGTTGTCCAGGTGGAGCAGGAAAGTGTCGTTCCCAAATTTCTCGAAGGTCTCGTAGTGGTGCCGGTCCATGTTGCCTGCGGCGGGGCAAGAAATTTGCCATCGGGTGGTGGGCCGGGAGGCGGGAGCAGGGACATGGAGCACCCTCCTGGCGCGAGACCGAAACCCAGAGGCTGGGGAAAAGGGCTGGGGGCACCTCTAAGTTGCCCGTCTGGTGGCCGTGGCCATGGGGGGGGATGGGGGGGACCTGAGCAGAGCCCCTGGGGCCTCCAGGCCCCTTCTCATCCCGGCAGCCCCATGGAGGGACAACAGTCGCAAACGGAGCAGAAGTAACAGCAAAGGCACGGCTGCGGCAGCCAGGGGTGAGGAGACAGGAAGCTCTCCAGGTCAGATGATGGTGGGGGGACAGCGCGGGGAGGAAGGAG